GTGAACGTGTAAGTCTGGTTAAACAAGAAATGGACATACTGCATAGCGTCCTCACTCGGTGAACGTGTAAGTCTGGTTAAACAAGAAATGGACATACTGCATAGCGTCCTCACTCGGAATTTATAATAAATTATTTATTAAGAGTGTAAGATCTAGCAAGAACGTCGGCCCGCTAAAGATTCAGATAGAAAACGTTTACTTCAGTAAGCACTTTTGAAACAAATTTTATTGTTGTTCTGTGAGAAACTATAAAAAATAACGACGCATGCGCTCTAAATGTTTAGTTGAAAATATCAATCAGAGTGCCACATTAGAAACTATTCCGTGTTGAAGATAAGCTACAGTTACTGTTGGGGACAGCGTTTTCAGGACCGACAGACACACACACACACATATATATATATATATATATATAATTAGCGATTTTCTTAATTGTTGGGATTAAATCAGTGTCGAAATATATAAAACGAGTGTCAAATTTCACCGACAAACGGGTATAAAACGCTTAAATAGATGGTTTCCAAGTAGCAGACAGTTTTTAGTGGGAGAAATTAGACCAGAGGCCTGATTGCTATCGACTACCTCCCCCACGGCTGGGGTCTTTGAATGAGTCTCTTTTCTTACTGTTAACCGTGAGAACGTGACTTTTAGGGCTGCGGTTATAGAAGGTGGCTTTAAGAGTGAGTGGCAGTTAACTTGAAGAGAACAATTTTTGTACAAATCCCTGGCGGGACATTACTGCACTCCAATGATGCCCCCTTTCGACAAACATTGTTATCTAAGCAATTTAACAATAAAGTAAAATTTTATAAACAGTATTAAAAACTTCTGTAGGTGTATCAAGAATATCAAAGTTTGAAACCTATAAATTTTTGATTCTTTGTTCCAGGTGGCGTTGTTAATTTTTTATAAATACTTAATTTATTAATGTCAAATAAATGACATACTAATACAAGGTTCTGTGTTAGTCAAAAAAAAATTTTTTTTCTTATATCTTCAAATTCCAACAGAAAAGGTTAATAATCAACACATACTGTGATCATGAAGTGTTCTAAACTAACACATATTTTGTACTGTAATCATGAAGTGTTCTAAACTAACACATATTTTTGTATTTTAATCATGAAGTGTTCTAAACTAACACATATTTTGTACTGTAATCATGAAGTGTTCTAAACTAACACATTTTTGTACTGTAATCATGAAGTGTTCTAAACTAACACATATTTTTGTACTGTAATCATGAAGTGTTCTAAACTAACACATATTTTTGTACTGTAATCATGAAGTGTTCTAAACTAACACAATTTTTGTATTTTAATCATGAAGTGTTCTAAGTTAACATATTATTTTGTATTATGATCATGAAGTGCTTGAGGTACGAATTTGTTCTGTATTGAAAGAGTTTTCACTAGAGTTCCTCTATATTTATTAAGCACTTAATAGTAGGGATCGTGATGAAAATGACGGCCATAAAAATCAACCGTTAAAACCACCTATAAAATGTATGAAAATTAACAAAGACTCTTCCACAATATTGGCTGAACAAAACTAAAGCTTATTGTATTTATCGCTATATACGTGTTTATGGTGTGAATCAAAATTCTTATACCGAAAAGGATACTAGTATATATATATATATATATATATAATGGACGATTCTCTACTTTGGGCGTATAATTAGATTTGAGGGTAGGTTGGTAGAGATCCTGATGAGTCAGAAAATTGAATCAACTATACGCGCTCCCCTCACTTGGTATTGCCGGCGCATATAGATATAGCTAATAAACAGTAAATAAAAAAAATTATATTTTATAAAGACAATTAGGGTTAAATATATATACGTAACCTAGTATTATATAAAGTTTTAATGGTACAGAAAGTATTGAAACAAGAAAGTCAAAACTACAAAAACTGAGTTACTTAATATCTAAAAGATTTTAATCCCTACGTTAGCTCGAACTAACATAATTACAGTGATTTGCCAGAGAAAGGATAAACATTTTAAGCAACTCAGTTTGTGTAGTTTTGACTTTCTTGTTTCAATACTTTTTGTAGTATTAAATATTTCTATGTTACTATAGCTAGCT